TCCCGATTCTCAAGTCAGCCTCCTCAGAAGATCACATCTCCCTCCAAATAAGAATATATAACAAATATAAGGAAGCAATATATTAAATAGGAATTATAAAAATTAAGAGAAATAAGGATCAGCATGCTGAAATTACAAAGAATGGCACAGTGGCATCCATTCTTGGCACTCTAACAGTAGAAAATGAGTGAAATATTCACTTGAGCCCATTTGGCTCATATTTAAGCTTCCTATACAAAATTAAATTAATTAACATATTATTGGCTAATGTTACTTGATAATTCCTAGCATGTAAAATATAACACCCAAAAGCTGTTCAAGTATACGACTTAATTAAGTGATAATGAGATATATGTTTATAAAATATAAGGTCATAGTTACGATTTTAATTGAAAAAAATTTTTTTTCTTAACCTTTATTTATAAAATCCCAAGGAAGTGAAAAAGCTCTTGTTTTTTTCTCTCCAAACCAATAGCATGTAAAATATAACACCCAAAAGCTGTTCAAGTATATGACTTAATTAAGTGATAATGAGATATGTTTATAAAATATAAGGTCATAGTTACGATTTTAATTGAAAAACATTTTTTTTCTTAACCTTTATTTATAAAATCCCAAGGAAGTGAAAAAGCTCTTGTTTTTTTCTCTCCAAACCAATAGTTACCTTTGATCCTTTCAAACAAGTATTCCTGATTTGGTGTAAGGTCTAGATACTGCACGATTGTATTCAGAGTTGGAATGAGAGGGGCTTTGACCAGAGCAGCTTGTTTCAAGCTAGTAATACTAGCCTCTGTTAAAAACAAAACACAGAGATTATCCTTCATGTGGGTCTCCAAAAGAATGTAAAATGCTCTTCCTCTTGTGGCTGGCTCTTCATGGCATTTACACAAGTTAGTGATGTTTTTCCCTGACTACCCTATCTCAAAAGTCCCTAAACATTAATAACAACACCTTCCTGTGATTTTTTTCTCCTTAGCACTAACCACTATCCAACCTACTTCCTTTATCTTGTTTACTGTCTGTCTCATCCACTAGAAGGAAAGCTTAATGAGGGCAATGAGTTTGGTTGTTTTGCTCACTGCTGTATCCCTAACACCTACAACAGCTACAACAGTACCTAGCACAGAGGAGGCACTCAAAAGATGTTGAAGGAATAAATGAAAGCAGCAATAATTTATCTTAATTTGCATTATCTGCTTACCTAACATTTAATCTTTCAGGCAAGGTAGCCAGATTTACACCACCCCCTCCCCACATACCTCTAAAAAAGCAGCCAAATCCATTTTGGCAAATCTGTAAACAACTAATGCACAGAAATTTTTTATAGGATATATATAAAAAGATACATGATAGCTTTCAAAATAGGGTGAATTAGAAGTTGCCCAGCATGCCAGGACAAGCAGAAACTTTTTATGACAGTGATTTCTCTTATCATATCATGAAAGTTAACTATACAAAGAAATTTTTTAAAAATTTCAAAATGTCTAACCTTACTAGTAATAGCCAATGTTAGGAAAAGGCATTCTTATATGTGACAGGGTTGCTAGAGTATAAACTGGTACAAACTTTTTGAAGGGAATATGCATCAAAAGCCTTAAAAATATTCACACCTATTGAACTGATAACTCTACTTCTAAGAAATTATCCTAACGAAATAATTATGAATATACACAAAAATTTGGATAAAAGGATATTCGCTGTAACATTATTAGTAACAGTAAAAAAAAAAAAACACCTAAATTCTAGATAATAAAGACTGGTTACATACAATATATTACATATATAAAAAAGAAATACAGTCTAGCCATAAAAATAATGCTAGAGAATATTTAACAAAATGGAAAAGGTGGAGGAAGGGAAGCAGGCAACAAAACAGTATGATCTCAATTTAATTAAAAGTATATACATATATTGTATGTCCATAATTCCTCAATTCCTAAATACAAACTTGTCACATTTCTTAAGTTACGGTATATTTTATAATTGATACACAGTCATACATCACTTAACAATAGGGATATGGTCTAAGGAACGTTGTGGTTGGGCGATTCTGTCATTGTGCGAACATCATGGGGAGTATACTTACACAAACCTAGATAGTATAGCCTGGTACACACCTAGGCTACATGGTATAGCCTATTGCTTCTAGGCTACAAACCTGTAAAGCAGGTTACTGTACTGAATACTGTAGGCAATTGT